TATTCTAAATTAAAGTTACAAAAATTTTTATTGGAAATTTACAGTATATTTTTAATTATTTTATTTACTATTTATATTTTATATGTATGAGTATATTGCCTGCATGTATGTTAGTAGTTAAATGCATGCTCCATAATATTTAGATTTTGCTCAGTCTATTGATAATTTTTTTCTAGGATTGTTATCTTGAGTGTTTTTCCCTAATAACTACTACTAGTTGTTATTAGCACCCCAAATTGTACATTGATAACTCCATCTAAAATAATTATAACTATATGTATCACATGAAGAGGTAAGGCTCATATTCAGTCTTTAAGGATTTATAATAGAAGTTGTTTAATTCATGTCATTAAATATTTTTTTAGGTTTTCTTGTACTATAGAAGACCCACACTTCAGCTTATTTATCTGTGTTTGTCAGTCCTTTGTCAAAGACTTATTTTCTCGTTTTTATTGCATCGTACCCAAATCTTGGAAGTAGTCACCCAAAAGATGTAAATACGGGTGATGTTTAAGAGCATTTAATTTTCTCAACTGACACCATTAATTCTTCAAATGTGTTCTAACAGATGTTCTTAGATCATTAATAGTGAAGATCAGGGAACGTTGTGGAAGAGGTGGGTGAAAGAGTGTAAGAGCTAATGGGGGTGGATAAATAAAGGAAACGGTGTTCTCCAGAACAATGGGCAGCTACATATATGAATCCACAGTTCTAACAGCATGCATAAGACCTACACAAGCCCAAGCCAGACATAGAGTCAGCACAGAGGGGAGAGGTGGGCAGGAATCCCTAGGTCAGGAATTATTGGCAGTTGTTAACTTGTGAGAGGGAGACTCAATTTCCTTTAAGAGTGTGATACCAGGTGGGCCCATCAGGCTCCAGGGGATGGATCTGATAAAAGATGAATATAATCAAAATACACTGTATGAAAGTCTCAAAGAATCAATAAGCAATTACTTTAAAAAGAGTGGAGATTTATATAAGGTGATAGAGAAGACCATTAACATAAATCCCATTTTTACCAAAATAACTTTCCAGCTACCGTGATGTTTACCTGGGATCCACAGTATGACAGAAAAATGTTAGACAGTATCTTCAGGAAAGTATAAAATAGTACACTCTATTTTTATCAGATTATATTTATATTAGTACTTGAAGAAAGTTTAGATAATTCCTTTCTAATACACAACTTTAAAAGAGACAGAAAGAGTCATCAATGGTTTCCCACATATATTCTTGGAAAATTTAACAATGTTGCTGTGTGTATAATTTGGTTGACCTAAAGTAAGTGGTAAGTGCATCTATGCATGTGTGCATGTGTGACAATGCAATGCAAACTCACTTTAAGAGTCAATAACCTAGTCACTTCTAATTGAGCTATGATTACAATTTGCTTATTGCTATACTAATACAATTAATAACTCACTGGGTATTCAACAAGTATTTGCTAAGTTGTTAATGGGAAGGGTAGGGTAAGAAATTGTCTGACTTTCAGATTAGATAATAGTGGATAAGGAAATCTTTGACTTTGTGTCTCCTTTCTAATCTTTGAATTTCTGTTTCCTTTCAATCATGTTTTTAACTTCACTAATTTCATAACAGTATACTGGTTTCTATCAAATAGGTCTTAAATTGCTCTGTCAATTTTTATTGCATATCCAGAATACAAAATTTAAGTGTTATATTAATACTATGTAGAATTTTGTAATGTTATTATTATTACTATTAATTTTTGGTCTTTTTGAGACAGGGTCTCTCTGTAGCCCTAGACCAGGCTGGCCTTGAACTCACAAAGATCTGCCTGCTTCTGCCTCCTGAGTGCTGGGATTAAAGGCGTGCGTCACCATGCTTGGCCAGAATTTTGTATTTTAAATGGTGACTGCACAAAACTAGTGATGTATCTTTTAAGAAAAAGAAAAAAAAAAAAAACATGGAGAGGGTGATGTGACAGGTCACACGGCAGTTTGGTTTAGTGAGTCAGAAGTTGCTTTAGAACTAAAATCATGACTCATGCATGTGTCACTCAGCAACTTAGTGATTTATAGGGAACAGTAATTATGTATTTTGATTAACTATTAGTTTATTTTCTATGTTAATAAATTCATCAGAAAGTGTTTATAGAATGTATATTGAATTCCAGTAACATTGAACATGGCCACTTTATGATGGGCAAATAGGAGTGTTTGGAAGGGAAGTTTCATGAATCTAAAACTACAGTCAACATAGAGAATTCCTGATTGGAGCATGTAGGGCAGTGTTTTGAAGTTAGTGCTTTTCTGGTGTGTAGTGCAATGCCTCGCCAATGACACGTTCCCAGAGTAGGTAGTTATGATATTACCGATATATGTAAATTGATGTGTTAAATATGGACATAATCTCTCATCCTTATATTGTTGTGTTAATTTGTTGTTCCTTTTCTGGTGTATATACTTAATTGGTTTGGTGCTACCTTATTCATAAACCATGAGTATTTCATAAAAGTGGTAACTTTGTTCCATCTATGTCATTCCCTGACAAATTATGCTTTAGAAAATATTTTATGGGTTAGCAAAAAGCCCTTTTTATACTAAAACCTTTAAATATGCGTAAAAGCTAAAAAGTTAATGCAATATATACTCAACATTATTTCACCTACTTGCAACAATGAATCAGTCTTTGGCTAATGGATTCTTAGCTTGGCAATATCTTAACACCATATCATAATCTGTAAATATTTTAATGTGCATCATTAAAGAATATTCGCTATTGTGTTTAGTCTTAACTTAGTAGTGCCATCAATTATTCAGTTAGATACTTATTTCTCAAATAGTCATTTTCTCTGAGGAGTTTGGCTCAGATTCCAAATAAGACCCACTGAATTGTATAATGCTTCTCTTCAATATCTTTTAGTTAGTTCTTTTCTGTGTTCTGATTATGGTCTTTGAATGGAAACAAGTAGCAAATACAAACACATAGAAACACATGCATACACACACACACACACATCTTAAGTTCATCCTGAAATATTCAATTTAAAATCAGAATTTCAGACATTTCTATAATGTTATTGAACTTTCATCTGCCAAAAGTTTCCTTTATGCTGAAAACATGGTTCCTAATAATTAACATTAATTCTGTAGTATATAAAGCAATTTCAGTATACATGATCAATACTCAAACAATGTAATTGCTAAACATGGTTTATGTAAATGTGTTATGCTTTTGTATTTATTTTAAAGATTGTGTATTAAACTCAACATGTCAACTTGTCATAACTATAAAGTCAGAAATTTCTAATACAAAATGCGTGCATTAGTGTAAATGTTTAGTTTTTAAAGATTCATGGAGATTTGTTGAAAAGAGAGGTTGTTTGCTGTGAGATACAAGTGTCCTTGGGAGGATGGGTGGCTAATATTTCTCAAACTATTTCAGTTGTGTTCTGAAATCTGACTCTTCCCATGCCTGCTTTCTTCTCTTTTTACCAGAAGCTTTTCTTGCCTTCATCATTATAATTTTTTCTTCCACAAAGAACATCCTAGTTATCCTTACCATGTTATTATGTAATAGATTTGTGTCTTTACCTTCCACATGCTTTGAATAATAATTATGTCTACTTTTCTGTTTGTATTAGATGGCATTTCCTCTAACCTTTATTATATGCAGTAAATTGGAATAACTTCAATATCTGAAATTTTCTTCTATGGCTATATTAGTCCATGTGTGGAAAAATATTAAGGCCATCACAGCTTAGCTTGTGTGAAGAGTCCTCATTGTGCCATGCCCTTTTGTTTTCTCCCTAGGATGTCAGATAACTAAAACTCATATGACCAACATGTGGTCAGATCCACAGCCTGCGCTGAAGTTTGTTCTTGTTCAATAGCAGCTAATATTAAGCTCAATGTTCTCAAATATTTACTCACAGTAATATGCTCCATTTGGTCTGTGCTGTGAGTTGTGGCTCCTACTTAATAAAGGTTTTCTGCTCTTTAGCAAATAAAACAGTACGAAGACTATAGTGCTCAAAACAACAGACTTGTTAATGTGTAACATATTTTTTATTTCCTGTGTTCCTTTGCTAGCGTAGTATTTCTTCCAGAATTCTTGGCATATTTGCACATTTTTTTCTGGTGCATAAAATAATATACTTTTTTCTCTTCATTTTAAATAATGTAAGATATACGTTGTACGATCAAGTTTTGAAATTTAAAAAATTATATTTTGTGTGTGTTTTGCCTGCATGTTAGCATACCTATGTGTGTGATTCCCATGGATGTCAGAACAAGGTGTCAGATCCCCTGGAACTGTAGTTACAGATGGTTGTTGCACGCTAGGTGGGTGCTGGGGACTGAACCCATGTCTTCTGCAGGAGCAGTCAGTGCTCTTAACCACTGAGCTATTGCTCCAGCCCTGGATCAAGCTTTTAATCATGCTTCATTTATTTATTTAGAACTTAACTGACCTCTACTGCTCTTTCCTGTATTCATAGCTGCCATATAATTTTCTGTGGCAGAATTTAGTTATTATCATTTATTAGTGATTTAATTTATTTTAATCATTTTATTTTCTAGAAAAAAGAGAACTGTAACAATCATCACATAAGTTGTAAAATAAATCTATAGTTTTTAAGAATGCACAGAAAGATTGCTTTGTTGTGTGCCTGGATAAAGTTATCAACATTATACAAACATGGAATCCACTAACTCTTAAAACAGAAATGGAGCATGCAGTGACCCCTTCCCCCAACTCCCGATGGGAAGATGAATCCTTTCTTGACAAGAGGAGACACAAAGCTACAGACTGCTTACACACTCTGTGTTTGTGTGGAAGCAAAGCTTTTACTTGTATATTGTGTTTTGCCTTTGATTCTGTGACCAAATTTGGCTAATCAATGGGTGTATGACATATTGTCATGTCTCTACAGAAGGGTTAAATGGGTATATTATTAACTTTCCTGTTATGATGAAACACCATGTCCAAGGCAAATTATAGAAAGAAGACCTTATTTTGGCTTATGTTTTCAGATGGATAAGAGTTAATCTTGGTGTGGAGGCATGGTAGATCAGTTGGAACAGAAGACTGATTGTTCACATCTTCTAGCACACACAGGAAGCAGAGAAGGGGGGAAATGGAAGCAGGACAAGGCTATGAATCATTAAATCTCACCCCCAGTGACGACCTTCCTCCAGAAAGGCCACACCTCCTGAAGGTTACTTGAACTTTCTCAGAGAGTACCGTTACCTGGGGACCATATACCAAATATTCAAATAGTCAAGCCTATGGAAGGATGATGGGGGCATTTCTCATTCAAACCACCACCACAGGTATCACTGGAGAACCTAGGAATCTTGGCTGTTTTTGTCCCTATCTTGGATTTGAAACACTTGAAAGAGGATGGCTGCTTCTGCATGAGTAGTGAAGCAAGACAGCATGCAGACAGGAGATATGGTTTTTAAGTGTAGCAATGGGAAATGATGTTTCTGTTTGCAGAAATATTTGAGGAATTCCTACCCTGTTGTCTTTGTCTCTAAAATTATATGCACAAGTTTTAATTTCTTTAAAGATTTTTTTCAATTTGTTTCCATTGTGTGTTTTCTACATTGTGGGTTATTAATAGCCATTTTAAAAATTAATGACTCACAAATGGATGAATGACTGAGCATTAATTAGACAAAACTTTCAGATTAGGCAGTGGATTACCCAGGTCGAACTTTCTCATACTTTCAATTAACTGGTGGATTTTGAATTTTAGGTTAGTGAATAATTGCTTCTAACATACTATGGTTATTATTGTTCTTTAAATTGGGTAATAGGTTGTCTTTAATCTCATAATCATGGATGATTTGCTCAACTCTTGCTTTTCCAAAAGTTGAATTAGAAGATACAAGAGTTCAAGTGTCAAAGTTATTACCAAGTAAATCTGTACTTATAAATGATGCTCCAAAAATGTTGTCTGATAGTTTTAAGACTTTTCATGAAATAGTATTTAATAAATTAATTTTGTCAAATAGTATTTAACAAAATTTTGATTTGTATAACAAAATTAGCATTATTTAAACAATTTTTAACAGAAAATGAAACAGACTTTATTTCATTAATGCTCTTATAAAACATAAAATGTAATTGGGAAACACAGGAAATCAACCCTTGCCAATCCTAAGGACCCTATTTCTTGTGTGTGCGTGTGTGTGTGTGTGCGTGCGCGTGTGTGTTACAGTTAGCAGTCTTCTTCTTGGCATTCCCTTATGCCACAGATTTGGAGTCTCACAAATCACAGCACTGGCAATCTCTTATCACAGGGCTTTGTCTGCAGTTGAAGGGGGAAGCTCTTTAATAAGCTCCATAAAGTTCTTGGGGCCTAAGGATAATCCTTCATATTCCAGTAATATAAAATGGACAAGGAGTCTGGGAGAGTGTCATAAGCTTCAAAAGATTTCAGGATTGATTCCGATTTCATTCTCAAAAGGTGCAATCTTATCTGATACCATAAAATTTTCAACAATAAACAGAAATGTTTTATAAAAATGGACTAAGTCTTTTTAATTACTTTGTAATCTTCCTGTATATACTGGTGTGTCTTTTCATCAATGAGTTTTCCCTAAAATGTCACTGTGCTTCTGTGCGTGCTGACACTTGATGCTCCTGCAAAACAAGCTGAGCACTATCCTGTGCAAAAGTAACCGCCATACTGAGGCTTATTCTTTGAATCTCCTACAGTGCTAAGTATGCGTCTATTTCACTGTAGTGGGATAAAATGCCTCAGCATGCCAGCGGGGCCCTGCCTTGGCTCTTTTCTAGTTGCTCACATCTTCCAGTCTTTGGTCATGAACAGAAATGCAGTTCCGACTCTAGATGCATTTTCATTTAGCTTTAAACATTCTCTACAAGTATGTTTATTTAAAAAAATTTTTTCATTCTCTAAAAAAGTTTTCGCTTATTAATACTTTAAGTCTCTAAATGGATATACTTAGATATAAACATGACCAAGTAATTCTGTACACATTTAGAGAGTTACCTCTGATATTACAACAATATTTGAAAACTGTGTTTAAATCTATTTAACCAAGAACCCAGAATAGGTCTGTGTCGTGTAAAGATGCAGAAAACAGTTTGTGACGTATGATACATGGAAGGTACCCATGAATAGAAGTCTCTAAATTTGACTCAATAAATATGAGCCTAATCAAGATAAACAACGGTGAAGAAAGACAGGTTGTCAATATGAAATCATGTCAATATGAAATCATCTAGAAAATGTTATTTTAAATGAAGCTCCAGTATGTTAATGAAGCACTTTATGTCAGAACTTGAACCACTGGATGCAGTAAGAATAATTCTGTAACACCTGTGTAGGATATCCTGAGGCATAGTGAGAAAGATAGCTGTGGCAAAGGATAGTAGGGTGTGCATGGTGGGTCACTCTCTACTTCCACTTTTTGTTTCTTGGAACTTCAGAAAAATTCTTGTAGGAAAAATGTGTTTATGACACCAATGGTATATGAAATATGACAGGTCATTTTTGCCTAGGGCTCCAACATTATTTACAGCAAAGACAAATGATGAATGATATTTATTCTTGTTGCATGCAAAGACCAGCAAGATGGTAATTATGTAACAGACATATTGAGCTTTGAAAAACACGTTATTTTTAAAGGATTTTTCAAAACTACTTAAAAAAAAATTCTGTATATGGGTCTATCCTGTTAATGCCATATGAATGCAGGTGTCCATGGAGGCCAGAAGAGGGAGTCTGATCCCCTGGAGTTGTAGTCAAAGGCAGTAGTAAACCACATGACATTGCGGCTGGGAATAGAACTCAGATGACCTGGAAGAAAAGCAAGTGCTCTTAGCCGCTGAGATTTCCCTCCAGCCCCTCAAGACATGTTTTTAACTTTTAAACTTAGGTATCCCAATTGTCCATTCTTCAATTTCAGTACAATTTTTATTAACGTTTTAATTTCTTGAGTTTTTCTGAAAGGAGCCTTTAACACCAAAGATATAAAGTTTTAAAAAAACCCAAAAGCAAAAACAAATTGAAACAAATACAAACTGTCTGCTTGCCCTGATACAAAATAATTATTTCATACAAATAAGTCAATGTTAGAATAAGTTATTTGGATTAACAATGTTTAGTAAACAATAGTGAAAAGTTAGAAGAGCTCAGGATGTGTTCAGTCATGGATTTAGGTCCACCTGGAGCCCCTTTGACCTAATTATAAACTTGCCGTGTTACAGCACAGACCACACAGTTTACAAAGCCTACATCATTCCTATGATATTCTGTACAGAGAAGGATACGGCATCCCTACTGTGCTTTATTTGTACCTCACGACATGGGATGAAATGGCAATAAAGGGAAGAAATGCATAAAACCTGTGTATTTCCTTTCATTACCTCGTACAAGATTGTTGCCAACCTGAGGGGAATATTAGACACCAAGCAGTGATTTTTAGTTCTATGAATTACAAAACATATAAATGTCTGTGACAGATCTCAGTATTAGACACAGTGTTTCAAATCCCAAAGTCCCAGAAGACAGTTGTGGATGAGAGAGCAATCTCCTGTGGCCTTTGATAAAGAACTAGTTTTGGCTGGCAGGGGGCATCCATTTCTGTTCAAGTTGCAGCTAGTTTACTATTTTTGATCGGGGGGTTGTTAACATTCTAACTGCTACATAATGGTTGTTTGTCCTAAATACTGCTGGTTGATTTGGTCTTTCTTGGTGAGAAGAGATTCCAATAAGCCACGGTAAATAAGTGATATTAAATTGTACTCTGTACCAGAGTATAGAAAACATAGCGCTTAGATCTGTAAAATCTTCATAATGTGTCTGAGTAGCACCAGAGGCACAGTGAATGTATTTCACATAAATAAGCTTTTATTTGGGAAAAATATGTTAAAGCAATTGAGAAACCTTCGCAATAGTAATAAAACCCAATAAACAAGTTATTTTGTATTTGTTTTATTTTTCTGTGACAGCTGCAGTTGGCCTGAAAGTCACTGTACAGACCAGGTCTTGACCACACAGAGAACTGCCTGCCTCTGCTTCCAGATTGCTGGGGTTAAAGGCACCTGCCACCACCCTTGGCTGGTCTGGTTTTATTTTATGAGATTTAAATGTAATATGAAATCAAGTTAGATTTTTAAAACACTTTAATGAAGTGATTTTCATTAATCAAAATCATTTTATAATAAATTCTATTAGTTTCACATGTCACTTAGAATAACATAAAGTTAGATGTGCTGCTCATACTGTGCACATGAATAAACTAAAATGGTTCACGAAAGTAAAGGTCAGTATCAAAGCTAGGGTACATGGTTATATATCAGGGTTTCAGGACATACTTTCTAAATTGTCTTAGGATTCAGATACATTAAAAACCAAAGAATGGTGGATTTACCTAGATTGGCACAAAAGCTTGCATGACAATGTTCATGCATAGCAAAATTAAAGATGAAAATATGAAATAAAATACTTTAAAAATCATAGAAAATGGCCAAAAAGGCATATAAAAGGGATTTTAAATAATGTGCCAAAGGAGGTTACTCTTTTATAAGAAAAGATCTAACTCTGCACACCCTTCACATTGGTGTAGAGGTGTTGTGTGTATAGTGGAGTGTGAGGCTGGTTAGTGTAGGTGTACATAAGTGTGTCTAATCAGCCTTCTCTGAGGAACAACTGTTGGCTTTTAGCTGACAATTCATAACCATGTGTTTTCAAAATAAACAAAAAGACAGGAAGTAAACAAAACCCATAACCGAGAACAATAAAATAAATGATTATTTTCAAATGAAAGCACAACATGAACAAACTGAAAGGAAAGATGAGAAAGGACAACAGCTTCCATGACTTGTGTATATGTGCACACACACACACACACACACACACACACACACGTAACAATAATAAAGAGGATAAGAAATCGAGAGGGAGTAGGGGACATGAGAGGAGTTGGAGGGGGACTGGGCGGGATGAAAATGTTGTAAAGACAATATTCATGTATGAAAATCTAAAAAATGATTTTGACTTTGATTTTATGCTTTCTTTGTCCTAATTGGGTGAGGAAGAAATGATCAAACATCTTTTTGTGAGTTGGGTTTGTTATTTTAGCAGTACTGGTGAAGCAATTCTG